AAAAAAAAAAAAAAACCCTTTAGGCTCGGACCCCACCGCCCGGCGGCTGGAAAAGTTTTGGCATGGAAGGGCGGCTGGAAAAGTTTTGGCATGGAAGGGCGTTTTCGGACCCCACCGGGCTGCCAGGAAGTTTTCCAGAGGTCTGCCAACATCTATTTCAGACCCCAAAACACCGCCAGCCGTGTTTCTACATGGCTGGCGGATGGAAAAGTCTCCGCCCGCGGCGGGCGCTCTTTTCCAAAACGCCCTCCAACAGGGTAGGGAGGGCAAAGTGCCAGCCACGGGGACCTGCAAGGTTTGTGTTCCCATCGGAGGCAGCAGCCAATAGCTATGAAGAGTGCCACAAAAAAACAATTAAAAAAAATGAAAAATAGATCAAAACAAGCGTGCCACCCAAACAGGCAACCATTGGCTGAACTGATTTGCAAAGGGTTTTCCAAGAGCAATTGGTCTCAATTAGTCCTCGGCGGTGGGGTCCCGGAAAAAGTACTTTCCAACTTTCCCAAACGACTTGCCCGCTTTTTGTGGCCACACATCTTTTCCAGCCGCCGGCCGGTGGGGTCCGAGCCTTACCCTCCGGCCACTTTCTATGATGTGTTTTTTTACCCCTTTTTCCTCCCATTCTTTTTATAAGGCCAACCGACGGCCTTGCCATATATGATCAGTGAGCTGACCGGCCCCAGGTAATTCAGAGTTATTTTATTCTGTTCATCCCATAGTTTCTGGATTCGAACTTGAGTCTGTATTTCAATAGTTCACCGTACTTTCGATGCCGTGTGTGTGTGTGTGTGTGTGTGTGTGTGTGTGTGGGTGGGTGTTGTCATATTCGCTATACACTAAAAAAAAGCATGAAAAAAAAAAAAAAAAGCATGACTGTGCCGAACAGACTGTTTCGTAGGACTTTCACCGACTCATCAGGAGGAGGTTGAACCTGGACTGACAGTCTGCCCAGGATGCATTTGACTGATGGAGGAGAAGGACTCTCACCACATCGCCCAGAGTTCGCGACACCCCTCCCTGAGAGAGAAAAGTCGTCCCAGTCCTTCGGGACATCCGTTAAAATTCGAACAATACAGAGAAGGGTGATGGCCCCTGCGCAAGGATGACACGCATAAATCGAGAAATGGTCCAAAAAAAAAAAAAAAAAAAGTGGTCCCCACTTTACTCACACCAACCTCAGGCTGACAGTGGGCCTCGCTGCACTACTCTCCACATCCACAACAGACAAAATATGCAGCGGCGGTGCATCTTTCCATGTTCTAGCGGAAGATTCATTCTCATTTCGCACATTTCGAGAGTAATGCAGCGAGGCCCAGTGTGTGTGTGTGTGTGTGTGTGTGTGTGTGTGTTTTCTCGTCAGTGACACTTTCCCTTGCTCATCTCTTCCCATTCACTCTCTCTCTCTTCTCTTCCTTCCTCCCTCCCATTCCTCTTGTCTCCCTCTGTCCACTTCTTTCTGACTTTTCACTTACCTCATCTTAAAGTTTCCACTGCAGCTCTCATCTTCCTACTCCTGCTCCCACAAGATTGGCTTAATTCCCCAAAAAGAAAAAAAAAAAAGAAAAAAAAAAAAGAGAAAGATTGGCTGAATTCGAGACGATCGCTTCATACAATGTATCTGTTTGGCTCGATCTAATTGGCGCTTCCGGCGCCGAAAAGGCACATCGAATAATCGGTCCCAGTTCGAGTTCCAGTCCCACGGTCCCACGTGAGCTCTGGGCCCTTCTTTCATTCTTCTCCTTGGCAATGCCGCCCTCTTTTCTCCCTCCTACCCCTTCGTCCTTCGGCTTGTTTGTGCTGCTATTCAATTGCTCACTCATGCATGAGCCCGTTCTATTACGCATGCGCATTCACATAGTCGCTCTATTACGCATGCGCATTCACAAGATCTTGCTACCTTTCTTATCCTCTCAACCCCCTTATACTCTCTCGCTCACCCCTTTATATCACTATATGGGTTTCCCTTCAATTGTGGGTGCTGTCGCTAACGACGGGCCTCGCGCAACTACAGTAACTCACCCAATGCGCAAAATGAGAATGAATCTTCCGGTAAAACATGGGAAGATACACGGCCATTTTTTTTGTCTTCTGTGCATCTGGTCAGTAGTACAGCGAGGCCCAATATCATCGCCCTCCTTACAGATGGCACAGTATTATTTTACCCCAGTGCCACTTCTTCTCTGTAAGAGTCCGTTCGCCCTAACGGGTCTAACATTTTTTTTTTTGTTTTGTTTTACAAAAACATCCTGCTGTCCACAACATTGTCGTATCCTTAAAAAAAAAAAAAAACATTGTCGTATCCTTCCAAAAAAAAAAAAAAAAAACAAGAAAAAAAGTATCGCATCCAGGTTCCCCCGCTTTTTTAGTCATTTAGAAATGAGCCCGAGCTTCGCCCATTCGTAAACGTAAAAAAAAAAAATAAAGAAAAAAAAAGTACCACATCCTACTTACTCTTGTTATTCCTTGATCGTCAAAAATAGTCTTTTTTTTTCTTCATTAAACGTAAATTTAAAACGAAATCATAAAAAAACATGAATATTGCCTGTTCCATTCTGAGTCCCAGCGTCTCTTGTGCAGGCTTACCTCTACAAAGTCTACACCCGAACACGCAACAGATCTGATCTCCAAAGGCGCCTCAAGGATAATTCTGCACAGTAATGAGAACCAACCAGCCGAAGCGAAGAAATGAAGTATGTGGCCGGGAGCAACAGCAGAGCGCCTGCAGAGCAACCGCAATGGCCCTGCTCTCTCTCTCTCTCTCTCTCTCTCTCTCTCTCTCTCTCTCTCTCTCTCTCACTTTGAAGTCGCGAACCCTAAATTTGAAGTAGAGCCCCTCTCTCTCACACTCTTTGAAGTCGCGCCCCCTGAATTTGAAGTAGAGCCCCCCTCCTTCTCTCTCTCTCTCTCTCTCTCTCTCTCTCTCTCTCTCTCTC